AACTTCTAATTTATACTTATTAATCCTTTCACCTTTTTCACCCATTCCCCACTCCCCTCTCATCTTAAAGAAGATCCATTTCATGTAATACTGGTTTGATGCCAATGGACTCCTGTAGCTTCTTCTTGTCTAGAAAACTCTTTTTTTTATTTTTATTTCTATTACACTTTGTTTATTTATCATGGACATTTGGGTTGTTTCCAACTTTGGACAATTGTGAGTAATACAACTATGTACATTGGTGTACAAATGTCTGTTAGAGTCTCTGCCTTATTTTTCTTTTTAGTTAGTGAAAGTACTAGAGGCCTGGTGCATGAAAATTCATGCACTGGAGGGGGGGTCCCTCAGCCTGACCTGCTCCCTCTCACAGTCCAGGAGCCCTCAGGGGCGGGAGGTGACCTGGTGATCAGGGGAAGGCAATGCCCCATCACACCTCTGCTGCTGCCACTGCCGGCAGCGCAAGCCTCGGCCAGCCCTGGTTACCTGACCGTTGGGCGGCCCTGGGCGGCTGGGCAGCCACCATCCAAGGCTTGCCTGCACCTCAGGCCAGCTCTGGGCAGCTGAGGGGCTGAGGGGATTGGGGGACTCTAGAGGCAGGAGTGTGGAGCGGCCGGGCCTGCCTGGGGGCAGGCCTGGCCTTGATGTGTGCCTGCCATCCCAGCGGGGCTGAGGGTACTGGGCACCACCATCTTGTGGCTGTGTGCACCACCATCTTTGAGGGCATGGCAGTCAATTAGCATATTCCCTCCTTATTGGCTCTTGGCATCACCATCATTGAGGGCGTGGCAGTCAATTAGCATATTACCTCCTTATTGGCTGTGGGTGTCACCATCTTTGAGGGCAGGTCAGTCAATTAGCATATCCCCTCCTTATTGGCTGTTGGCGCTGCCATCTTTACAATGGCTTGAGGGTCAATTAGCATATTCCCTCTTTATTAGATAGGATTACAGATGTTCCCTTTGTTTCTTCATTGACCACTTCTAGCCTGCCCCCTCCCTCTACCCCATGCCTTTACCACACTATTGTCTGTGTCCATGGGTTATGCATATATGCATACAGGTTCTTTGGTTGATCTTTTCCCATCCACCTACCCACCTCCACCTTCCCTGTGAGATTGGACAGACTGTTTCATGCTTCTATGTCTCTGTATCTATTTTGTTCATCAGTTTATTTTGTTCATTAGATTCCACATATGAGTGGCATCATGTGATATTTTTCTTTCTCTTACTGGCTTGTTTCACTTAGTATAATACTCTTCAGATTCATCCATGTTGTCTCAAAGGGTAAGATAGCCTTTTTTACTGCTGTATAGTATTCCATGTAAATGTACCACAGCTTTTTTATCCACTTATCTACTGATGGGTAATTGGTCTGTTTCTAAATCTTAGCTATTGTAAATTGCATTGCTATGACTATAGGTGCATATAATCTTTCTGATTGGTGGAAAGTTTTTATCTGTCCTTTGATTCTAAATGATATATTTGCTGGGTGAAGTAATCTTGGTTGCAGGTCCTTGCTTTTCATCACTTTGAATATTTCATGCCAATCCCTTCTGGCCTGAAAAGTTTCTGTTGAGAAATCAGCTGACAATCTTATAGGTGCTCTCTTGTAGGTAACTAATGGCTTTTCTCTTCCTGCTTTTAAGATCCTTTCTTTGTCTTTAAACTTTGACATTTTAATTATGATGTATCTTTGTGTGGGCTTCTTTGGGTTCCTCTTGTTTTGAACTCTCTTTGCTTCCTGGACTTGTATGTCTATTTCCTTCACCAGGTTGAGGAAGTTTTCTGTCATTATTTTTTCACATATGTTATCATTTCCTTGCTCCCTCTCTCCTCCTTCTGCCATCCCCATGATGCAAATGTTGGTATGCTTAAAGTTGTCCCAAACGATTCTTAAACTATCCTCATTATTTTGGATTCTTTTTTTTCCTGTTCTGATTAGTGTTTTCTGCTTCCTTATATTCCAATTCTCTGATATGATCTTCTGCTTCATCTACTTGACTATTGATATCCTGTAATGTAGCCTTCATTTCAGTTAATGTATTCTTCTTTTCTGACCTTTTTATATGTTTTCTAGTTACATTTTTATGTTTCCTGTCTCTTTGTTGAAGTTCTCATTAATTTCATCTACTATTAAGTATTTTGAACTAGCGTTTTGAACTCTGCATCTAGTAGATTTTTGGTTTCCATTTTGTTTAGTTATTTTTCTAGAGTTTTGTTCTGTTTTTTCATTTGGGATATGTTTCTTTGTCTCCTCATTTTGGCAGCCTCCCTGTTTTTGTTTCTATGTATTAGGCAAAGTTGCTATGTCTCCTGGGCTTGGTAGAGTGTCCTTATGTAGTAGGTGTCTGTAGGGTCCAGTGGCACAGACTCCCCATCACTAGAGCTGGGCACTCCAGGTGTAACCCCATGTAATCTGTATACACCTTCTGTTATAGTTAAGCTTTGATTGCCATTGGCTCATCAATGGGAGGGATTTACCCCCAGACAATTGGCTGTAAAAACTGGCTGAAACCGCTGTTGAGAATTAGCTGTGCCAGGCTCATTCCAAGAAACAGAACTTACCTCAGTGGGGCTCTGGTTCCTTCTCTGTTTTCCCCTTAAGTGTGTCACTTGTGTAGGTGGCTCCAGGGCCTCCCAGGAGGTGCAGGCTAAGGTCAGCCATTACCTGTGTCCTACCTGGTACTACCTGGCCTGAGCTGCAAAGTGATCTGCATATGGCTGCTACTTGTGCTGGTCTAGGAAAGGCCAAGCTGGCTGAAGAACCAAAGCTGGCTGCTGCTAGTGCCAGGCCTAGGGTCACTTAGCAAGAGGTACAAAGCATGTTGAGGCCAAATGCTGCTTGTTTGAGAAATTTTAGGAAAGTCTGAAGCATGAGCCAAGACAGGCCATTGGTATTAAAAAGCCACTGGAAACAGCTTGGGTGGACCTGTAAGGTGGGTGACACAGGGTCTCAGGCAATCACCAGTGGTAGCCTGGTTGATGGAGACTCAGAAATAGTGCCCGCCCACTCTGTTGGGGGAGGGCTCAGCAAAGGAACAATAGCCTCTGCCAGCACTTACGTCTGGAAGAAAGCTGCCACTACCCAGCTCTCATCCTGATGCCAGATAATTTAGTTCATCCCTGTATGACCCTAATGCCTTTCAAGCTGCTGCCTCAGTGCTTCAGAGTGAGTGAATACAAGTAAGTCCATGAAATGGGCCCTTTAAGAGGAACTTCCTGGGACTCCGGCAGCCTCTGTCTCACTTAGCCACAATCCCCACTGGTTTTTACAGTCACAAGTTATTGGGCCTTCTCTTCCTGGCTCTGGAATGCTAGGGCTGGGGGGTTGATGTGGGGCTGGGTCCCCTTGATCCTCAAGAGGGACCTCTGCAGATGTATATTTTACACATGGGTGTGGGACCAGCCTGTTCCACCTCTGTACCCCTCTTTCCAATCTCGATGTGGCTTCTTTATATCCTTAGTTGTAAGACTTCCGTTCAGCTAGATTTCAGAAGGTTCTGAATGATGGTTGTTCTGTAGGTTAGTTGTAATTTGATGTGGTTGTGGGAGGACTTGAGGACCCGCACTGCCATGTTGGCCGAAACCCAGCACATGCCTTTCTGGCAGTCATAGGCATTTCAAAGGCCCAGTTAGGAGGGGAGAAACCCTCTCACTATCTGAGAATTGAGTTGCTTCCTTATTGCAGGTAGCTGATCCTGGGTAGAGGGAAAGCTGAGAGATGTAATATCATTCAAATACTAGTAGTTTAACATCTTCATAGAAGTAGAAACATTTAAGTGACAAGTAGAAACATTTCAGCACCCCTTTCCCAAGCTCTCTGCCCTGATCCTGCACCCCCTTCCAAAGGTTTCTGGTCCTGATCCTGCACCCCCTTCCAAAGCTCTCTGCCCTGATCCTGCACCCCCTTCCAAAGCTCTCTGCCCTGATCCTGCACCCCCTTCCAAAGCTCTCTGCCCTGATCCTGCATCCCCTTCCCAAGCTCTCTGCCCTGATCCTGCACCCCCTTCCAAAGCTCTCTGCCCTGATCCTGCACCCCCTTGCGAAAATTAAGATCTGAGGATTACTGGAAGAGCTCACTCACCCTTTTTTTCATCTATCAACTTTTTTTTATATCAACTTTTTAAAGAATAATTGAAAAGCTGTCCAAAATGCAGATACCTATCTTTTTTAAAGTATTCTTAAAATCCCTTGGAATATTAGCTTTTTTGGAAGTGAAATCAGAATTACAATTATAAAAGATACTAAAAGAACCCCATTGTAAAATAAAGAATACTAAAATAAATAATCTGATTTTTCATTCTACATATTTCCTAGATCTTGAAAAACTATATGCAGAATTTTTCCTGGCTCCTGAAAAATGATATGTAAAAATTTTATTTAGCCTTTGAAGTAAGGAAAACCTAATTTTGATCCTAATATAGTACATACCAGCTGGGGTCTTGGCTTGTTACTTAGCTTCTCTGAGCCCCTGTTTCTACATCTATAAAGTGGGGATAATAAAACCTACTATTATCAGGCTCATATAAGATCAGGTAAAAGTTTTCACATGGTGCCTAATATGTAGCAAGTCTGCAAATGATTTTCTCTTATTATTTCAAGAATGATACAGTTATGTTTTGTTTGCTTTTTTAAAATTCAGTATCAATAAAAGCAACAGATATAAAAATAATTTAAAATATATATGAGCAAAGTTGGTACAGAAAGGACACAGAAAATTTATTTATAAATGTTGTAAGTTAATTAACTTAAAGTTTTATTCAACATTTCTTTGGCTATTTTTAAATCCAAGGCAAAAAAAAAATCTCTTTCATGACACTCAATGAAAACAATGCACTAATGACCATTCACTTTAAATATTTATAGAAAGTTTAGTGGAGGAAGTGAGCTAAACCAAGGAAGGAGTTCCTCTGAGACCTCAAAAGAATGTTTCTGAGCCATGCCAGTGCACCTCTCACCCCAGAAGAATGGTCAAGTAATCCTGCCCTTCTGTCTCTCCAGGGAGAAGCTGGCGGTGGCCCGACTGCAGCGAGAAGTTGCCGAAAGGAGAAGTGAGGGGGCCATGGTAAGTCCTGCCTGGTCTGCCCTTATCCTGCACCCCTTTCCAAAGGTCTCCGCCCTGATCCTGCACCCCCTTCCAAAGGTCTCCGCCCTGATCCTGCACCCCCTTCCAAAGGTCTCCGCCCTGATCCTGCACCCCCTTCCAAAGGTCTCTGCCCTGATCCTGCACCCCCTTCCAAAGGTCTCCGCCCTGATCCTGCACCCCCTTCCAAAGGTCTCCGCCCCGATCCTGCACCCCCTTCCAAAGGTCTCCACCCCAATCCTGCACCCCCTTCCAAAGGTCTCCAACCGGATCCTGCACCCCCTTCCAAAGGTCCCTGGTTTGAAAGGTGTTTTGTCTCATGAAGGATAGCTAAGGAAAGTATTTGCTTGCTGCAAACAATGCTGTATTTGTACATAACGTGTTTATAGTGTAGCCTAGACAGCTCTGCCATTTACAGAGAGGGAAGAGAGAGAGAGAGAGAGAGAGAGAGAGAGAGAGAGAGAGAGAGAGGGAGATTATGAAAAAAAAAATAACTATTTGGGCTTCTAAGAGGATGTTCAAATGGTAATAAGTCTTCATTTTCTTGATCTACTGAATGCCCAGGCTTCCAGCTGTGAGCAGGATGTCCATAAATGAGCAATCTTAGGTTTTCAGATAAGGAGAGTTCAGCATGACTCAAGCATCTCAGTTCTTCAGACCTCAAATACAGACCACCCTAAGGAACATTTAGATGTTCGCTAATGGCATTTTATATTATTTTCTTCTAACTGTTCTAAGGGCATCTCTCCCTGTCCTTTTCAGCATGTGTCATTTAGAAAACTGCGGTCTGAATTGTACTAAAAGTCGGTATGGTTGTTTTGGTCCATTTCAACTTCATTTTATGGATGGTCTTTGCCAAAGTATCTGCCTGTATACTACTCTTACATCAGAGATAGCTGTCTGGTGACCCATGTGCAGATGTGGATTAACTGCTGCTGTTACCTCTGAGGGGGGAACATTTCATGCCAGGTTTTCCCCCACTTATGACAATACAATAGGACATGTACAATTTCTCAGCAAAAGAATTCGCTTTTTTTTTTTGAAAAAGGGAAGTGATGCATTTTTAGATCCTGAAAGCTGCTTCCATTTGATTTCATGAGAGTTAATTGATAATCAAGCCACTGAAAAGAGTAAGATTTTAAAAATATGCTGGCCTCACTCCTCTCTGAAGAGGGATAGCAAAGGGCTGCAGCAAGGGCTGCAGGTTGAGTGGGCCCTGGAAGGTGCCTTGGCCTGGAGCAGCTAAAATACTCACGGGATCACGTGGTTTGCTCTGCTCCTGATCTTAATGCAAAGAGGACCTTGAATGTTCAAATAATACGAAGCAACTGCTCACAAGCATTTTTGAGTGATGAATTGGAAATAAGTTGGAGAAAATGAAGGTTTAGTCTAATGGTAAACTGAAAATCTTCAATGTGGTGTTTTCCTGCATTACAAAACTTTTAAGGCCAGGCCATTCCTCAGTATTTCACTCTTGTTCAGGACTTATTCCTACTCCTTCACTGTGCACTGACAGTGAGGAAGGCTGTCTCAGGTCTCAGTTGCTTCATTTTTAAAACTAGGAGGTTGGAATTGTATGATCCATGATCCCATCAGCTTCGTGGATCATGCTACTGGACATTTTTTCATAGAAAGATTGTATGATTGTGAGCCCTTTCTGATAATAACTAAATAATATTTAAGCTCATAAAAAGAACAGGCCTCTGAAGAGTATATCTTTCTGACTCTGACAGTGAATGGGCCTGAGATGAAATCATCACAGACAGATAACTCTCTTATCTTTTACAAAACAAAACCCTCTTTTAAAACATTATAGATGTAATTGTTCAGCGCAGAAAATACCCAGAAAACACAGGCAAAAAGATGACTTCAATTGCTATAAAATAGCATTGGAAAAGTTTCCGATGTTTTATTACTCTTTATTTAATGACGGTAATGAAAGAATCACATTTATGCATTGATTGATTTAGCATCCACTATGTGTCCAGTAACATTCTAGGCACTGGGGAAACAGTGGTGAAAACAAAACAAAACAAAACAAACAAAAAACAGGCAAAAGTCTGAGAGTTTACATTCTAGAAGTTGTGGAAACAGATATCCCATGTAATTAGAGTGTTGGATGGTGGGACCAGCCATGAGAAAATAAAATCAAGGTAGGGGACATGGGGATTTTAGGGCCTAGCTGTGTTAATTTCAGTAGTAAGTCACTGAAAAGCTAATATTTGAGCAAAAATCAAAGTGGGTGCAGGAGTTCACCATGCACCCCCTCCCAGGATGAGCATTCCAGGCAGAGATGAGCAAGTGCAAAGGCTGCTGGAGGGGAGTGGGGGAGAGGGCAAACAGTAGAAGATGATGTCAGAGAAGTGATGGGGCAGAGGGTAAGTCACCGAGGTCCCCCGGGGTTCCCTGGTTCCTGCTCTGGGTGCCTGGAGCCTTTGGAAGCCTTTGAGTGAGGCAGTGATATGATTGGATTTACCACTGTTCATATTACTGTTATTTCCCCCTTTCATAATTTATCACACTTCCATTCCATAGAGACACCATAAGCCCTGATTTTCTTTAATGTCCTTTATTTTGTTTGTTTTTCAATATTTTTTCCTCTTTCCTTACCTAGTCAAACCCCCCTGAGTTTTCTACTTAATTATATGCTTGAGCTTTTCTGCTCCTAGGATTCATTTATTTCTGAAGTCCTGGTTCTTTCATCTGACAGCTCCTTAAATCAGGCAGTTCTATTAATCCTCCAAATTTAATTCTTGCTGTTCCAAGCCCAGGACTTTTGTCATGCCTGTAGCAGAAATGGAAAAGAGTTCATCACAACCAGATCACCTCTTGTTTTAAAAGATTATTAGGCATAGCATTCTATGTTTTGATACACACACACACAAACACACACACACACACACACACACACACACACACACAAAATGGTATGCAAAGTTATTTAAGAAATATTTTCAAAAAAGCTATATAATTGAGGCAGGTTGTTATTTTTAAAATCATTAAACCTGTAATAATCAATGAACCTGTTATAAATAAAGTCTTTAATGCAAAGCATGCCTTTATTACAATTTGACTTAATGCAATAAATCTCTTATATGTTTTAGGAATAGTACCCAAGGCACCATTCTTTTGATAGTTGTTTTATTTTTTAACATGCTTTTTATTTGGGAATGATTTCAGACTTATAGTAAAGTTGCACACCTGCAAACCGTTTAACCAGTTTTGTAGTGTTAACATCTGAACATAACTATAATATAATTATCAAAACTAAGAGATTAACATTGCCATATTAGTATTAACTAAACTCCAGGCTTTCTTAGAATTTCACCAGGTTTTCCAATAATGTTCCTTTTCTGATCTGGATTCACTCCAGGGTACTGCACTGCCTGCAGAGAGGTTCCCTTCTGATGACTAGTTGACACATGTGTGGGAGGAAGAATATGAGCTTGAGGATGAGATAGGTCTGGATTCAAAGTCTAGCTCTACCAGCTGTTAGTTGTATGACCTTGGACATGGTATTTTATTGGTTTGTATGGATTCTGCATGCTCTATTGTTCTGTTAACTCAAGTCTTTGGGAAGGCTTTCTTTCAATATTAGATGTTTCATATTTGCTTCCTTTGCTCTTAACTCTGTTCCATGAAATAACTACAAACATTGTTTGCATACTTCTTTCATTATTTTTCACAAAAGGCTATAAGATTATATTTCTCTTAATTCTGGGAAATTGTGTTTCAGCTTGTGCTTCCTCTCACAGGCTCGGTTTACTACAAGATCTCTTCTGTCCTTCAGACTCCAATGTCATTTTAAATATTTTTGTATGTGGAAAGGTCCATTCCACCCACGAGTTATAAAGATATTCATTCTCATTATCTTCTAAAATATATATATATATAGTTTTTATTCTCTGCATGTAAATCTTTGAAAATTCTGGGTAGAGTTAAATTGGTGTGAGGTAAGGATAAAAATAATGTTTTTGCAAGCCAATAGTCATTTTGCATCATGTATTGAATCATTTAACCTTTATCATAGTCCAAATACCTGTGTCAATATGGATCAATTACTGGACTGACCATACTCTTCCATTAACTTTTATGGAGAGAGAGAGAGAGAGAGAGAGAGAGAGAGAGAGAGAGAGAGAGAAACTGGGAAACTGGCTTCCTCCTGCATGCTAGGGATCAAATCAGCAAACCAGGTATATGACCTTGACTGAGAATCAAATTCACAACCCTTTGGTACTCAGGCCAATACTCAAACACTGAACATACCATCCAGAGCTCTTCTGATCATATTTTTTTTCTGCAAACTAGTAAAGACAATTTTACTTATTGAATAGAAGTAAGAGTTAATAATATATATTTGTATTTATTAAAGAGCAAAAGTATTTTATATGTACTTATGATACAATAAAATATCTCAGAGAGAGTATTTCACGTTATATAAACAATGGCTTAAATAGAATTGCTGTTTTCTTATGTTTATTTTTTTATTTTAGAAGAACATTACTTCTCCCACTGTTAGTTCATCTTTGTTTTTGATTGAAGAGATATTTGTATCTAAAGAGCACTAATATCCTACCAATCGCAATTTTATTAAAATGCTTGGGCTATAATTATGCAATATATCAACATTCTATGGTTTCTTATCATCCCAGTGATTAATTTCTATTTGGGAAAAATGAAGATACAATTTCTTCATTACACATCTAAAGGCACTAAGGAGACACAGGGTCCCTGCTTACCTGGTTAGAAGATGCCCTCTTCCTTGCATCCACAAATTCAGACACTGGCCTCCTGTTACCCTACTGTCCTACCACTAAATTCATAGGCACGCCCCCTTTTTGTTTATTTGGCACAATGCACATCCAAGGAGTAATGATCAAAGACTAAGATATTGACAGTTGGATAAGGAATTTGAGAGAAAGAAGAGTTTGAGGATGTAGGGAGATCGGAGCGTCTGGACCTTCCTTGTTAGAGAATGAGGC